TGGGTTATGTTAACAAAGGGACAAATATTTTCAGATACCAGGAAATTGACCGTGAAGAGTTTCCTGTTTTTAAAATACAAGAAATGGAAAATACCATGAAATGGAAATCTTCTTCTTTGGCGATCACTCGTAGCTGAGTAAGATTGTCTTCCATAAACATGGTGTGGAGATCATAGGGGGTCCCCGGACGTTTAACGGTCTATTGATCCCTGTGCCACCACTGTGCTCGCTTCCCCGCTGCCACCAACCAGTTACTCTCTGGTAAAACACTGAGTCCAGACAGTTGTTAAAAGTGAACCAAAAAAACCAAGTTTATTTTACAAACATTAACAAGTTTAGGGTTTCTCCGATAATACTCCTGTCAGTACCTTAACTTTAGTTTCTTTAACGGCCTATACCTTCCTAATACCTTCTGACTGCTTATCTCAACTGTTTGACTGACTCCTCTTAACAAATTCTCTCACTCTCTCACACCAGACTAGCCCAACCCACAGACTTATCTTTTCTGTCTTTTCTAACTCCAGACTGTCTTCTCAACCACCCTAGCTCTAACTCTCTCCTCAAAAAACCCCACCTCTGTGCTTAAACCTTATACACAGTTAACTCTGCCCCCTGTGTTCCCATTGGTTAGTCATTTTAAAATTAGTTAACCCTTTCCCTATGAACCCAGTATGATGTCACACACCTTGGAGGGCCAACGCCACACACGGTTTTAACAGTAAGTCCGTAAGTGACTGTGGAAGCCAATTCTGGATCCACACGTCCTTCTGCAGTGGGGACATTGGTTTCCAGGCAAATCACGGTGTGGATTTGCCAAGCGTGCCTTCCTCTTAGCATGTTTCTCCCTTGCGTCCTGAGTTCGAGTGTCTTCAAAGCCCATGACACCTTTGGTAAAGGCTGTTCTCCAATCGGAGCTCTTGCAGGCCAGTGCTTCCCAACACTCTGCAGAAGGGGCAAGCCAGTCAGCCTTGTAGCAGTAGCATAGGCACTGACTATGTGGGGCCCTGGGTGCCTGAGCACCCAAAAATTTTAAATGAAGGGGCCAGGTTCCCCCAAGTTTCCACTCTGTGGACACGCCCTGGGAAATGGAAATGTGCAGAACTGAACTTACAATGGGAAAAATGAGAAACTGGGATAAACCGAAATGCACAGGTTCATCCATCCCAACTCACATGTCCTTTGAAATGAAAGGTGATGGGGACAGCAGCCACGTCCCCCTTCACTGTGTAAGGCTAGACCACAGTGAACTGGGGCAGAGATGGTAAGAAAGGATGGCAGAGAAAGAGGCAGCATGTATTATAGAGAGGGAGAGGGAGAGAGGAAACCTCCCATGCCATAAGATCTACAGCAGCATTTCACAAACTCTCCCTACCACCACCACTTGAAAATTACTGAGGGTCCTGGTCAACCACTTATAATTGTTTTTGTGTTTGTATTCACTGGGCAACACCTCGGCTGGGAGCTTGTCATCATTTTAATCCATTTCAGTGCTTCTGATATTACAATTTCACATGGTAGTTTTGTACATAAGAAAATGCAAACAAAAAACAAACAAAAAAAACAAACAACGACCCCAAATATAGCTGCTTTATTTAAATGCTTGAAAATAAAGTCCTATTTTCTTCAGGAAAATTCAAAAGGCTTAAGATGCTTTTAAAAGTCTTTAAAGATAGGATTCTTTATATGAATCATTTCAAAGCCGATTTTCATAATTTTAATGTGATTGGTAGTTGAGCTTTTTAAATATGTAAAATATAAGACCAAATCTTCGGAGAGAACCCTACGAAGACCGGTTTTAAAATGATTAATTCTTATTAGAAGTTAATGACATGAACTACAGAAAAGCAGAGTTCAATTTCATCTGCTTGGCAGGGGACTACATCTTTGCTCTTTGGATTTCCTTCTAACTCCCAGAACAAGTAGCGGCCAGTGCTGGTGGAAGTCTACCCAAATCCCAGTGCAAGATGCTGAAATTTCAGGTGCCTCTGCTGTCCTTTCTTAACAACATTAAAACCATCCATTCACAGTATTTCACTACCAGTAGAGCAACATGAACACAAGGCACCATATCACCATCAGTCATGTGCTACGCTGTGGTTATAACAGGACAGTTTTTTATATTAGCATAAGCATAAAGTAAGGATGGGGAGATACTGAAAGACATGTTGAGGTTTCTTCTTAATTCTTAGTTGTGTTTGGTTTTCAGTTGAATACAGGTTTTCATAATACAAGTTTTCACGATGTATTGGAGGGGGTGCCTCCGGGGAAATTTAAATAATAAAAATATGTTTTAAAGGATATGTTCTGGAAGAGATGCTGAAAGATAGATTTGTGTGTGGCGTTATTTGAGGTTATTAAAATTCAAAAGCAATTTCTGGCTGGTGGGTTGACCTGGGATAAAGCTGTAAAGGTGCCAACAGCCATGGAAACAGCAAGCAGAAATTCACAGGTTTTGCATCTTGACAATAAGGACCCTGAAAGCAAGACTATAAACTAAGTGCACAACTCACAACAGAAGCTTAGAGACCTGGAGAGATGCTGTTATGGAGGAATGCATTCATCCTCTTGGAGAAGCAGGGATATGTTTGAAACAGAAGGAACTCTTATTTCTTATTAAACTACAAGACTAAGACTAATAAAGAGGGAATTCACCCATGGCAGGCAAAGTGTCTATACTTAACTGTTCTCAGTCTCTGGAGGCTTGTGACCAGGAGATCATGAGCAGGACTAGTAAACAGAAGCGTTTGAAAGGGATTCATGGAAGACACAGAACAAGGTGAGCTTTTGTCTTTGGGATTAAGGCTGGTGGTTTGTCAGAGTTGTTAGGAGGGTTGCTGTGTATTTTGCTGTGTGCTCTGCTAGAGCACATGCTCCGAGTGGAAGGGGCTTCTGCTGCCTCATGACACAACTGGGAGACAGGCAAAGAAAGGCTTTTCAAGAATCTAAGAAGCTAATCCAATTCAAATGAAACTCCAATCCAATTCATATCCACACACAAAGTATGAAACAGGGGTATTTTTAATACCTGTACTTGGAGATGTTGATTTATTATTTATTTATTTATTTATTTATATATTTATATATTTATTAAATTTATATACTACCTTTAATCTGTAGATCTCAGGGTGGTCCACAAAGATATGGATGGACAAATCTGTAAATGCTGGTTTTTCTCTGTTCACTACAATTTTTGTATCCGTTTGCAATTTTTTATTTTAAAAAAAGTCTTCACAAAAATTCAGTCGCATTTTAGTACACATTCCTCCTAATGATGCACACCTTTTTATGTGCAACTGGTCCAATGTACACATTTTCCCCAATTTTCCACAAAACAACACATTTTTGTATGCTATATTTCTAATATATGAAATTTTGTGTGCACTTTTCTCAAATATACATTCCTTTAATTTTTTTTTTTTCATTTTGTGGTTGGAGAACTACATTGCAGAATTTGGAGAAGTATACATTTCAGAGGGCATCTGCACTTTTGGTTGGCATCTTGGTATGTGAAGTGTGAATTAGACAGGTCTGCATTAAAATAAAAAATCAAACCAATGCTGTCCCGCTAAACTGCAAGTCCACCAGACTTTCTCGCAAGTCTAATATATAAGCTCAGTTGGAAAGAAAGCCCACAAATCCCAACAGAGCAGAAGAAGGTTGATAATGATATATCACCAGCGTATAATTAATTATTATTATTATTATTATTAAAAATTGTATACTGCCCTTCATTCGAAGATCTCAGGGCCTTTCGCAGCATACATATACATGATAAAAACACACACAAAAAGCATAATCAAAACAAGAGGAAAAAACAAAACAAACCAATAGCCTCGCTACACCCCACCCCATCCCACAAAAACATCTAAAAGGATATTGGATAATCATATGTGAGGCAGGATAAAGGCTAAAGCATCAACCCCATATTTAACAAATGTGTTACAAAGAAACAGTGCTAAAAGGCATCCTTAGCTGGACTCCTTGAAACAGGAAAACAATCAATACACCCTCCATTAGTCTTTGATCCAACCTGCCATAGATTATGGCAGTAAACAATTCCCAGGATGAACTGAAATCTTAAATCAATGCGCAGATCTTTAAACTTTAGCCAAGCTTCTTTGTAGTTTATAGAATCAAAGGCCCCCTCCCAATCAATGAAGGCACCATGAAGCCTTTTTGCCTTTCAAATGATTGAATTAATAATGGTTCAAGGATTACAATACAAACTGGAATTAGTCCAAATCTGCCTGCTCGATCACTGGTAAATTGGTGTAAGTTACCCAGCTTCCCAAATTAATATTTTTTCTTTTAAAAAAAACAAAAACCCAAACCCTCCTTTCTGTTCTCTCACTGTAGCACTTAGACTAATAAGTCCACCTCTGGAGTTTTTCGATTCCTCCTTCCTGCCTTAACTTTCCCATGACACTATTTAAAAAGTAGTGATTTAATGCTGGACACAAGCCTTGGGGCTCATCCACACTTGTTCTTGATCCTTATTTTGACCGTGTTGTGTTCTGATTAATTCCCCCAAGGTCCGAGAACTGTTTCCATCGTTGCATGGCTGTGCCTTGAGAAAATCTTACCTGCTGAATCGGATCTTATAGATGCATGGAAAATCTGAAGAGAGACTGTGCTTAACCAAGCTTCGATTCAGCAGGCAAGATCAGATTTTCGCAAGGCACAGCAAAACATGCTCTCAGACCCAAGAGACCGCTATTCCCTTCAGAGAGCTACAGTTAGAATCAGAGGAAACTGCGACAAACCAGGTCAGACCTTTGATCCATCTACAGTGGTACCTCAGTTTCGAATGTCTCAGAAGTCTACCGTTTCAGTTTTCGAACGCCCAAAACTCGGAAGTAACTGCTTCAGTTTTCAAGCGCTTTTCGGAAGTCGAACAGTCTTTCGGAACGGATTACGTTGGAAAACCGAGGTACCACCGTATTTCAGTATTATTTGCACTCAATGACAGTGGCATTCCAGGTTTGCAGGTGGGAGACATTCCCAGCTCAGTCGCTAGAGCATGAGACTTGTAATCTCAGGGTTGTGAATTTGAGCCTCACATTAGGCAAAAGATTTCTGCATTGCAGGGGGTTGGACTAGATGATCCTCGTGGTCCCTTCCCACTCTACAATTCTGTGATTCCTTGTGCACACAAAACAGATGCTGTACCACTGAAGATATCACCCTTCCCTGAATTTCCAGAGTTCCCTGAGAAGAGAAACTGATTCTTAAACCATTTTGGGAATTGAACCTCTGGGGTGGAAATAGGCGTGTTCTAGCAACTCTCAGCGCCCTTAGCAAACAGAGTCCAGGATTCTTTGGTGGAACAAGACATGATTGTTTAAAGTGGTATGATACTGTTTTAAATGTAGAATGCAGATGGGGCCATAATCAAGAGGCAGGAGATTTCATTACCTGAGAGGATTATAGCAAACGATAGTTCAGCTGACTGAAGTTCAGATTGTTAGATTTATCACTAGAGACAGAGGTGTAATCCATTTTAAATGGATTGATACATGGAATTTGGCAGGTTCTGACCAAACTGAGCTTTATCAAAATCAGACCCTCCTCTTATACAGGTGAGGACTGTCATGAAAAAAGCATGGCTTCTCAGCATATTCGGCCAAATGTCCTTAGAAGCCCACCCCAACATATCCTCCAAGCGTCCCAATTTCCCAGGGACACTCCTGGAATTAATGAAGCCATCCTGGCTTTTGATTTGATCCCGGAATGTCCCTGTTTCCCCTGCAGGTGCCACCAGCACCAAGCTCAAGGAGGAGGAGGAGCAGACACTCGTTCCGAGCAAAGGCGGCAGCAGCAGTGGCAGCTATAAGAGAACACCCTGTGGCCTCTCTGTGGCCCCTCCCTGGCCATCACTGCCAGCCTCCTCCCTTGGGGCAGCTCATATCTGAAGGAGCGTCTCCACTCCCATCGTTCTGCCCGGACATTGAGGTCCAGTGCCGAGGGCCTTCTGGCGGTTCCCTCACTGCGAGAAGCCAAGTTACAGGGAACCAGGCAGAGGGCCTTCTTGGTAGTGGCACCCGCCCTGTGGAATGCCCTGCCACCAGATATCAAAGAGAAGAACAACTACCAGACTTTTAGAAGACATCTGAAGGCAGCCCTGTTCAGGGAAGCTTTTAATGTTTGATGCATTGCTGTATTTTAATATTTTGTTGGAAGTCACCCAGAGTGGCTGGGGAAGCCCAGCCAGATGGGCAGGGTATAAATAATTGTTGTTGTTGTTGTTGTTGTTATAGCAGCTGATGGAGGGCTGGCAAGGAGTGGCTGCTGCTGCTGCTGAGGTCCAGCCCTGCATGACAGAATGGCTTTGATGTGCAGGCAGAGAGTAGGGCTGCCCTGGATGGGAGGAATGGGGGAATAGAGATGAGCACAAGGAATCTTGATTTTTTTTTAAAAAAAAATGCTTTGTGTGTCCACATCTAATGTTGCCCCTTTCTAAAATTCATTTATTGGTGTGTGTTTTTGCAAATCGACCCAATAATAAAATAAAATCGGGACTGAGGGGTTTTCTCAGGACAGTGGAAAGTGTGTGCTCTGTGCCCCATCAGAGGGTCATTTAGGGGAAAGTGAGAAATGTCCCTATTTTCATCTGAAGGACGTTGGAGGGTATTTACTCCAGTGTAGTGGGTGGCAGTAGCACAGGTGAGGATGTATGGGTGCCAAATGTGCCCTGCTTCTATTGGGAGACACCCATTACTAACTAGCTAAGTGAAAATGTCAAGAGGGTCCTTTTGCAAGTGTTTGTCTTGTGAGCCTTGAGCGCTCTGTCGATAGATAAAAGTTTCCTGGACTGGGAGGGGAAATGCAAAGAGCTGCTTGCTCCGACAAAGGAAGTGCCTCCTTTCTTGGGGAGAAAGCAAATAATGGACAAACTACGCATGGCTGGAGAGAGCAAAATAATTGCATCTCCTGCCTACACAACCCTGAGACACCATATATTATGCTCGAAATGCATCCCTCTTTCTCAAATAAAAAATAAAAAAATCAGCAATACAGTCACGGTATCTGCACGTCCCTGTTGCTTCGCCACACAGCTAAGCTGCAACAATCCTTTTAAATTTCCCACTATGCTTCAGAGGAAAACAATCTTTAGATTGCTGGTTTGAGAGATTCCTTGCAGGAAATGGGTTTCTGAGTTAAAAGGAGATAATTAAAATAGAGAAAATTGCTGAAGTGAGTGCTATACAGCCTGTGTGGGCTGCTTTAGGAAGAGAACGGAGTGGTGTTAGTGTCTCTCTGGAAGCAAATGCTTGTTAAGCCCCTTGAAATGAGGGTTGTTCCCCCTTTTTTGCGGGGGGGAGACTGTAAAAAGCTCGGAGCCTGTTTGGGAAGCTGATTAGCGGGTTCACCCAGTGCTGGCCACCAGGGGGCAGATATCCCAAAAGGACTCTCAGCATTATTCCCATGATAATCAGAGTGAATTTTTTTGCTTAGAGAGGAGTATAAAATCCCATCTACGTTATGACACCAGGAAGAAAGAAAGAAAGAAAGAAAGAAAGAAAGAAAGAAAGAAAGAAAGAAAGAAAGAAAGAAAGAAAGAAAATGAAATAGTATGGCAATACACACACTCTTCAGTAAGACATTTTGGGTGCCCATCTACAGTGAGGGTATAGCTGGAAGGAATTTTCCCCAAGAGATATGACAGCCATTACAAAAGATCGTATATTTCCCATATCATGGAAGCTTTAGCTGAGATTCCCTTGGGGTCCTTTCCAACTCTCTGATTCTAAGATTCTTTGTCAAGAACAAGGGCAAAGGCTGGTGATTTCAGGGTTTTCAATATTCATAACTTTACATGCAACAGTGTCCAGGCTGCGTATGCAACACAGCATCACCCTATTAATCTGGTACCCCTGGGCTGGATGGATAAATATTCTGACCTTGATGTGGAGGGATCACAACTCATTGCATATGCTTTGAATGCAAAAGGTTCCAGTTTCAATCCGAAACATCTCTGGGTTTGGGGCTTTCATTTTTTTTAGAAAAAGAATAACAGGTAATATAAACGAAAACCTCTGCCTGCTGCCCAGTCATTCTGGGCAAGATGGACAAGTTTCCTGACCTGGTATAAAAGCACATTCCTGCGTTGCTGTGACAAACCAACCGCACCTAACCCTTCTACTTCTCAGGCAGAGTTTAAAGTCTACTTAGGACAGTAGGTGCATATGATTGGATGTGACGTCCCTCACTAAGGAGATGAAGGCAGAGCAGAGCTCACCCCCACACTTCCCCATGGGGCCTTGGCCTCCCAGTGATGTAGTAAGTAGAAGCATGTGGGGAAGAGAAGTACTGTTATGCAACAGCATCCATCCCACCCCACAGCCTCCCTCATGCCCCTTGACCTCTCTGTCCACACACACACACACACTGCCTACCAGTGATCTTCATTTTGGTATAAAGGAATCTTTGTTTCTTCTTCTGCAGCTAGGAGTCCAGGAAAAGAATCATTTGTGTAGGGAGATACCATGGTCCAGGAGCTCAGTCTTCACAGTGGGTTCTAGATCCACAGAGGCAAAGAAGGGATCCACCAGGAGCTATCCTCTGATTGGACGGCATCGTGGTACCCTGATGCTGAAAATTAAGGGCCCTGTATATTTCTGTGTTGCTGGTGTTGACTTTTTCCGCAAGAAAAAATAACGCCCATTGCCATCTTTTTCTGACATTTGTAGCACTAAAAGTAGCTGAAGATCCCCAAACTGCTGAAAGGTCCTTCCAGGGTAGAAGCATTGTAATGTCCCGATATGGTTTTTAAAATGACTCATTTTCTCTCCACAGGAACCTTATAATTCTTCCTAATGAAGCTAGTGGCTGCTCTAGTTCTGATTCTCCCTGCTCAGCTTGAAAGCGATGTTAGCATCCCTTTGATCTACACCCAAGGGCCGATGGGAATAATGAAGGCTGTGATCAAAAAGACCAAAATGAGGAAGGAGGGAATCTCAGCACTAAATGAACTCTTTCTCTCTGCGTGTGTGTCTGCGTTCTGGGCCTGCACCCAGGTTAACATACTCTCAGGTAATTTCCTGGACATATAATACGTCTCTTTCTGCGATGGCAGGATAATATAGCTCCAACCCTCAAGTGCTTCATTACCTGAGACACAGTAGCCACATCCATGCCATACCTTTAAACATTATTATACCACTTTAAGAATCCTGGAATCCTGGAAAGTGTAGTTACACCAAGGTCAGTATATTTAGCTGCCCCAAGCAGTAGCAGCACTCAGTCCACAAGGTGTGCTCCATCATCCCCTGCAATGCCTGCTTTTGCTTTGTCAGCACACTAAAAACAATGACCAGTGGTTACCACCCAGTGCCCTACCTCCACGGTCAGACACAGTGTTGCAGACCCTCCAAGTATCCCTGTTTCCAAGGGTCAATTCTGGATTTACAGAAGTTGTCCCGGTTTTTGATTTGATCCCGAAATGTCCCGCTTTTCCTTAGGATGTCCCGATTTTCATGGGAGAAATGTTGGAGGATATGGAGGTATGCAACCCCCAAGCCAAGGAGATAAGTTACCATACAACCTTTAGAAGACATCTGAAGGCAGCCCTGTGCAGGGGGGATTTTTTTATGTTTAATGTTTTCTTATGTTTATTTATGGTATAATAATAATAATAATAATAATACTAATACATTTATTTATACCCCGCCCTCCCTGGCCAGAGCTGGGCTCAGGGCGGGTAACATCAGTAAAATTACAGAAAAACATAATAGGAAAAAAACCCAATTTAAAATACAAGTTAAAATGCAATTTAAAATGCAGCCTCATTTTTAAAGTAGCCAATAAATCAAAACCGTAAGGGGAGGGAAACAGAAGGGTCAGACTGAGTCCAAACAAAAGGCCAGGTGGAACAGCTCTGTCTTGCAGGCCCTGCAGAAGGATGTCAAGTCCCGCAGGACCCTAGTCTCTTGTACTGTTCCACCAAATCGGGGCTAGTACTGGCCCTAGTTGAGACCAATCTAACCACCTTGCGACCTGGGACCTCCAAAGTGTGGTATATATGTTGGAAGCCACCCAGAATGGCTGGGGCAACCCAGTCAGATGGGT